CCCCAGTCACTGAATCAATCCACCTCATAGAGAGTCTTCCCCTCCTGCGCTGTCCCTCCACTCTGCCCAGCATGATGTCCCTCTCTAAAGACCTGTCTCTCCTTACAACATGTCCAAAGTATGTCAGGTGAAGCCCCAGAATCCTTGCCTCCAAGGAGCAGCATGGTTTAACCCTCTCTAGGATGAATCTGCTTATTTTCTTGGCAGTCCATGGTACATTCAATACTCTTCTCCAGCACCACAGCTCAAAGGTGTCAATTCTCCTTCTATCCTCCCTAGTCATTGTCCAACTCTCTGATGTATAACAAGTGATTGCAAAGACCATGACCTGTATCAGGTGTACCTTAGTCTCCAGAGAAACACCATTGCTCTTCAGTACTTTAGAGAGTTCCCTAACTGCAGACTTTGCCATGGCAATACGTTTTTTGATTTCCTGGCTACTGGTGCCAAGAGTGTTGACAGTGGACCCAAGCAGACTGAAGCTGTGAACAATCTCAATCTCTTCACCATCCACCCTGATGTTACCGATTGGTCCAGTGGTGAGAATTTTTGTCTTCTTGACATTGAGCCTCAGTCCATATTGAAGGCTGCAGTCCTTGATCCTCTGCAGTAAGTGCATGAGGTCCTCCTCAGTTTCAGCAAGCAGGGTTGTGTCATCTGCTTAACGCAGATTGTTGATAGATCGTCCACCAATGCTAACGCCACGCTTCTCCTCATAGAGCCCAGCCTCTCGGATAATCTGCTCTGCATACAGGTTGAAAAGGTAGCACAACAATTAAGCAAGTACTAAATTATTAACTGAATGACTTATGGTTTGAACCTACCAACATCCTCATGGGAGAAAGACCTGTCGATCTGTGTCTACAAAGAGTACAGCCTCTAAAATCCTATGGGGTAGTTCTACTCTATAACACAAAGTTGCTATCAGTAAAAAAACCCAAACAACAACAACAACAACAAAACCTATTCAACAGCACATAATAACAATTTTAAAACCTTTTTGAAACTTCAAGTTTTCTTATCTTGTTAAGCTAAAATTATGTCTAAGCTCTAAACTCTTTTAGAAGAATATGAAGTCCCTATAGTTTTTTGTTTGCATTTTTTTTGCAAACTACAAAGAATTGCTTCATTTTCTCATGCACATCTGTTTAAACGTTCACACTACTCAAACTCCAATAAAGTTAAAAAAATGATTATGTATAAAGCATCTTTAAAATGGCAAAGTCTCAAAATATTTCTACTCTGTGAATATGTATGATAATTACCAACAACCAAAGTCATATAAATCACAGATTAGAAATAGCTCAGTGTTTTGGAGACATTCATTAAAAAAATATATTTTTTAAATGTTAATTCAAGATGTTACAGCTGTGTCCATTTTCAGTGAATATGATAGCTGTGGAGTAGGTCTGAGTGAGCAAAGATTTAGAAAAATACCAGAGAAGACTAGCAATGTCTGCCTGCAGAGTTATCTGATATTTGGTAGTGGGGACGCAAATGCATTGTTTTATTCATAGTTGTTCATTTTTCCTTCATTTTCTCTGGTATTCTTAACAAAAATCATTGTTGAGCATTTTTACTAAAAACAATTATAATTATTTGTTTTGTTTTCTATAAAACACTTCTGTGAGTTTTCAGAAATAGTACAGATATTACTTACACATAATACCAGAAGCTGTGCATTTAAGTAAATGTATCTACAATAATATTTAGTATACTCAAACCCCATCACTCTCCATCAGTTCTAACTCTCTCAGGCTGTAAATCTTTTATTGTTCTTGCTTTGCTAGCTTTTGGCTTTTTAAAATTTTTTCCCACTAGTTTATTTATAAAATTCGAATACAAAGTTGAACAAATTCTTTCCATTTCCCTTACCCCCACCCCATCAAATTGTATAACCCAATGATTAGCCACCACCACCACCATCACCCCCTGCACATCCACATCTCTCTGATTCCAGCCTCTCCCACCCCTCCTGGATCCTTACACTCAGTCTACAATAACAGTTTCATACAATATTTATCCTTGTGGGACTGAGATAGTTCACTCAGCATAATGCTCTCCAGTTCCTCCCAAGTTAGGTAATAATTTATAGAATTATTTTTCCTGTGTGCTGCATAGTATTCCATTGTATGAATGTACTATAATTTCTCAATCCATTCGTTTGTAGTTAGACATTTGGGCTGTTTCCATGTTCTTGTGATGGTGAATAATGCTGCTATGATCATTGGTGTACAAATCTCAGTTTGTGCCTCAGTTCTCACTTTCTTGGGTATATTCCAAGTAGTGGAATAGCTGGGCCATATACAATTTCTATGTTCAGCTTTTTGAAGAAGCTCCAAACTTCTTTCTAGAATGGTTGCACCATTTTACAATCCCACCAACAATGTATTAAGAGTTCCTTTCTCACCATAGCCTCTCCAACATCTATTGCTTCCTGCCCTGTTAAACCTTGCCACTGGTACTCAGATGGTACCTCATTGTGGTTTTGATTTGCATCTCTCTTATTGTCAGGCTGTAAATCTTAATGGAAACAGATTACCTCATCTTTCTCCTAAGGAGCAGTTGGTAGGTTCAAACAGTCAATCTTGCAGTTAACAGTGAACACTCAACTCATTATACCACCAACAGAAGAAATAACCCCTCTGCTGTCTATTTGATTCCATTCCAACTAATGCCAATGCTCTATCAGGTTTCCAAGATTATAAGTTTTTATGAAAAGAGACAGTCCATCTTTATCCCATGGACGGGTTGGTGGATTCTAAACCATCCCTGGGTTGCTAGCTCAGTAGGAAACACTCTATATCATCAGAGCTCTTTACTATACCACCAGGCTCCTTACATTTAGTATTAAAAACTCAGACTCGCTGACATTGAGTCAGTTCGAACTTACAGACTCTCTGTCATTTTTAAGACTGTCAATTATACCATATATTTTTTGACATTTTAGCAACTGGTAGATTCAAACTGCTAGAGATGAACAACTTTTCATTTAGCAGTGCAAGTCACTGCAAACTAAATCACCAGAGCTCCTTATACTTAGTATGTCATATGAGATGACACTATTATGAACAATTTGATAAATTCTTTGGTAATTAAAATAATAACTCTCCAATTTATATCTTTCTGAGGTTTAACTATATGGGTGGTTCTCTCAAAGAGGGTTACACCTGTATTCTACTTTGATAATCACATGAATCTCAAAAAGATTCAAGGTCTGCTCTGGAGATACATATGCAATATGACTAGAATCCTGTGGGCAATTTTGATTGTGAAAATCTGGGAATTAAGGGGAAACTAAACTATCACTAAGTACGTTTCTTACTTGTTCTCTGAAATGTAGACCAGGCTTGTGGATGGGAAACAGGTCAAATATAAACACTCTTGTTCATATCTCATGCTCACAGGCCAGCATCCATGTGCTAGATCACAGTTCTTTGACAGAGGCATCTATTCTCCTAAAGCAGTATAGATTGAGAGTACTTTTGGGTGCTAACACTTCAAGGTCAGTGACAGATTCAGCCACAATTTAGCATAAGTTATTAAAGTTGCAAGAAATTGGAAGGAATTCAACCACTGTATCTTTTCCTGCCGATTTATCAAGATACCTACTCTCAGGGATTATATTAGTTCACGAAGAAACAATTGTCCTTGTTTATAACTTTATATAACACTGACAGGCCTGCACTGAGAAATGACTCCTCCTTATCAGACTGGTGGAGAGCCCTTGATAAATACCTCCCTCTTACCCTAGAGAAATAAATCCTCACCTAACACCAGAGAATCAATAGCATATCAATGTTTTCAACTATCTAGTATGGATTCCATTGTGTACTACTCTGTTTACAGCTAAAAGTTTTCAATCACATCAATCTACCGCAGCAACAATGTAACCTGCAATATATCATTACTGCGTGAATCGGGAAGCGTGTGCTGATGGTATCAATTCCAGCCTAACAAAAACCATAAAGCGACAATATTGTCCAAGGACAGCAGCCACTGACAATGAGAACTCCACCTCAAAGGGACAATAATTACATAAACCCTGAAATATTCTGAATGTGTGGTATATGGAATGTAATAAATAATAATCATATAGTCATATTAGCTTTCTGTGGTTATATTCACCTTCAGTTAGAAGACCAGGGTCCAGTAATAGAACTTTACTTCTACATGAGTAATTAGTGATCGTTATCTTAAGGAAATATTAATAAAATAAATTCATTAATAAAATATACAGAATATTAATAGAAGCAGTGATAATCTTTATAATTTTGAATAATGTAGGCTAAAAGAAAGCCTAAGACTGGTATTTGATAGGAATCTTAACTCATAGTCCTTTTCCATTTTTTCTAAAAAAATTAAACAGGGGGTCATGCCTTGTAAATTACATACATTTGGAATATTTACTGTCATTAAGTCCACCAACATATTAGACTGCTTGCCATTCTTTGCCCATGAATTTCCATAAGACTATGAATCAATGAAGGACATGGTTTCCTATGGAAAGTTGTTGGATTCTTTAAGTAAGTTTTCAAATTCCATTCAGGTTTCAGAGAAAAAAAAAGTGAAAACAGAAACGAGGAAAACCTAGTGCTACATTTAAACCGAACTCGGAGCTGTCACAAATACAAAGAAACTGATGTCACTGGATGCAATAAACATTTTGTAGACACAAGGGAAAAGAATAGTACTGAAGAGTTTGGGTAATAGAAAAGCAGAGATCTGTTGCTCCAACATATCTTGGGACGCTCCACTAGTCTATCATTTTTTAAAAAAGAAATAAATTGATTCAGTCTCCAAGTAAGGATGACATCACAATTTATTCTTCTGCTGCTTTATTGCTTGCCATGATAGGATCTCAACCTCTTCTATTAGAGCTCTCTTTAAAAAAGAGTACTTTCCACATGATTAAATGTGACACCCGGAAAACTGCAAGAAAAGCCTTCAACACATCCTTAAACCAGAGAGATAAGATGTATTGTACAGGTTTATCTTACCGTAAAGCTTTTGGTCCAAAGTACATAAAGAGCTCCTTCCCCAAAGTTTCCACACCACTGTAAGTATATCCATTAAACAGTCTCAGGAAATTCTTGCTTGAATCTTTATTATTCAGTGCAGCAGCCTAGCAGAAAAAACACACACACACATAAACACACAAATACTAAACAAATTATAAATCTTAAACTTATTTCTACTATTTCACATCCAGGTGCATCCCAATAAGAATATCCAACAAATAATATAATTTACTTTTTACATACATTTTGTACATTTGTTGAAATTCCTATATAGTAACTTAAAAATAGAAAGGTAAAAATATGAAATAAAAAAGTAACTGGCAGATAATCAAAATTAATTTCTTCTAGGAGCATACCCCTCTGGCACAGAAAAAGAGAAAGCAGAGGAGAATATGAATACTTTAAAACTGAGCTAGATGCATTGAAAAACAAGGAACTCATGCAATATTATTCAAAATGGGTGACCCTGGAGAGGACATTATGCTGAGTGAGGTATCTCAGTCACAGAGGGACAAATGCTATATGGTGCCACTGTTGTAGAATAAGGGTGACATCGGGATGGGGGTAAGACTGAGAAAAACTGGATGAAATATGTTTACAGCACTGAAGTCTTGGGGGGAGAGAATATTTTATATTTTAGGGCATTATGTTTATCGTAAGAGTACGGAATGAGGGTTGCAGAGTGGATTGTATTTGGGGATTGGGGGATGTGTGTGGGGGATTG